GAGTGGCGGAGGACAGTCCCACAGCGGGAGTAGCTAGAGCGGCGGAGCAGCGTATCCTAGCGTTCGGCGTTCAATAGTCCCGCACGGGATGACGGTCTTGCGCTCTCGTCTCTTTCTCGCATCTTTCAAATTCCCTGTGCTTGGAAACGCAGTGCGCGTATACGGAGCTGATATGCTCTGCACTAAACATGTTATGTACTCCGTATACTCGGGACATACCGGATTTCAATGAACCCTCGGGCCATCCGCGTAGTGCCCTCGCTGCGCTCGGGACACTACAACGCGGAGGCCCTCGGGTTCATTGAAATCCCCTCTGTATGTCCCTCGCACGTAGTACATAACATATATTTATTTACCTGGTTGGGGTTTCTTCTGTCAATGAATGCAGTTTCAAAGCTTCTCCACAATCTCAAATTTATGTATGTATAAATTATACAGCTACTGTTATTGACTGTTTTATAGCTACTTCCAGAATTGTTTTTGGTCCGCCAAACGTCTCACCCCTTAGCGGAAATGCGTGCAGGTCTTCGCAGTAACGCAAGCAGCTGTTATAGGAAGGGCATCCTTTTTGATTGACTTTTCTGTTTCAACAGAAGTCACACGAGTGCGGAAAAACCCACTCCACGCCGGACGTAACGCCAAGCGCGTCACCGCAGCATCTCTGCGCATGACCAGCTAAGGGTCTTGTACAGATGACATCATTCACTCTGCCCCCTTTTACCTTCCGCGGTGCTCCTGAGCTCAGTCCTTTTGCGAGAGAGACAAAATCCGTGCCACGCAAAACTAATGCATAAACCATAGCAGCTAGCTAAATAGAATGTGTGCGAATCAGTGCAGAACAACCTTAGTCCCAGTCGCCCAGAATTACGTTCCACAGATGCTAAATCACAGATCCAGTCCCATCGTCTCCAAAGCGAAATAGCAAATTAAACTTACACGGGTTATCGCTAGCTCACTGAGAGTCTGACAAGTCTATAGGGGTAGAGGCCTCTGTTCGACCTTACATTGTTTGAAGTGTAAATTGTAATCCTGTCTCTCCAGTCTCTTTCAGTTGGTTATTGCTAGCGTGATTATGCACCCTCAATCTCGCCATGGTTATAATATTACAATAGTGTATACAAAGAATGGTTACTTTGTTGCAAGCTGTATTCATATATATGTGCACATGTGAAGTTACAGACTTACCAACTATTGTCTCTACGGGTGTCTCTGGACGACTACAGGGGTGAAAGAGGAGGAATGCTGAATGAGGTGTAGGAAGTAACACCTATCACATGCAGAATACAAGAATTACAGGAACATTCATCAACAATTGCCTAATTTACTTTTGTGTATTTAAAAAATCATGTTGGACATTACTGTAAGGGTGGAAAAGTCGGATACACATACACATTCTCAGAGATTTCTAACTCTTTAATCTGTTCCTTGATGCTTGTTCGCTTTTCGGAGGGTCTGCTATTCCACTCAAATATATTCTTATAATATTGGTGAGAGAAGCGAGCGTGCCTCGCTGTCTAAACGGAGGATTTTTACGTCCCTTCACAGAGACAGCAGGGACAACATCACAACATGAGCTAAAAAATTATGGAATTGCACTTCATTGTACAAAATATGAGCCCAAGTGGATGTGAACTCGGCACACTTGTTGTTGTAAATATATAATGGTAATTGGCAATTGACCAATCCGAAGGTGCGAGTTATAGGAGGTAATTAAGTTACCTCTTCCGCCGTAACTATTTTGAAACTCAGCGTCAATGGCTACCACACCTCAGATGCATTGTACACTCACCTCTTTTGATCCACACATTCTTCCTGAATTTGGTGGGCTTGGTAAAGGTCAACATGCGTATTGTTTATGGCCTATGCATGATCATGTGAAGGTAACTGCTCTTGTGGCAGTGACAAAATACACTTCTGACATCAAGAATGATTGTATATAGCTTTAAACCAACCAATGACGAATCGTATAGTGTCGCTCTGCCACCTCACCGTACTAATGGATTGGTTTTTTCTGGAGAGTTCATCGCAGCTCCTGCATTTAAAACTCTGGTTTGGTATAAGTATAGCTACCAGAGTTTTGTTGCTTGTTGGCAAAGGTTTGCGTTTTTGCCGTTATGTCTTGATAGTAAAACCTTTCTTTATGGTGTAAGTGTTCATTCCGGTAAGTTACTCCTAAGGGGGTTCAAAATCAGGGCCGTTTTTTTGTGCATCATCGTGATATGGGTTCTGTAGAACCATAGCAGCTAGCTAATTAGAATGTGTGCGAATTAGTGCAGAATCTTAGGCCCAGTCGCCCAAAATTACGTGCGCATTCTTCTTTGGATTTGACAGTTGAACTGAACTCGCAATGTTGTGTGATGTTCAGAGACCCTGGTGTAAAACTCAGCACTTAGGCTTACTCGTCTCCACGTGGGACGCAGCTCCTGCACAAACTCTGGTTTCGTATATACCAGAGTTTTGTTGTTTGTTGGCAAAGGATTGAGTTGTTGCGGTTTTGTCTTGATAGTAAAACATTTGTTTATGGTGTAAGTGTTCATTCTGGTAAGTTATTCTAAAAAAGGAAAAGGGGGTTCAAAATCAGGGCCGTTTTTCTGTGCATCATCGTGATATGGGTTCTGTAGATACCAGGGAGGGAAACAGTGACAATGTCCGTGTCGTCTCATTTACATCTTGTTAACCCTCGGCGCGCATGCGCAGCGAGGGTTATAGTACTTGCTTGTCTGTCTGTCCGTCTGTCCGTCTGTTACCACGTTTTCTGCCACCACGCGCAACAAACAGGTAAAATAGCGACACCAACTGGTTCAGCGCTACACTGGCTTGATTTTAAAATGGCGATTTTCGTAAAAGTGCCGCGTTCAGAAGTTATGGCGTGAAAACCAAGTGAACAAGCCAATATGCTAATTAGCACTAGCTTACCTCGACCTGATCTGTGTACCTCGGAGGCACAAGAAGTCACAACGAAGGGCGTGTAGCGACTCTCGCATGCTATCTACTACTGTAGCTAGCCCGTGTCAGATTCTCCGCGAGCTACTAGCGGGAGATCACGGGTAAACGCAGACTAATAGGCCCAGCCCATCAATTAGAGGTACAGCGCATGCGCAGTTCGCCGAGGGTTTGCACTTTAGTTCATTAACCCTCGGCGCGCATGCGCAGCGAGGGTTACTGTAGTTACCCTCGGCGCGCATGCGCAGCCAGGGTACTGTACTTGGGTTTGTCTGTGTGTCTGTTACTCTCAATCTCACTTCTCGAATGTCTGTTCGTCCCAGAAACGCTACCATCTACCCAACGGGCGACGAAGGTCAGAAAATATGTGGGGTTTTCTCTGAAAATGCTCCGTTGCAGAGCTAGAGCGCTTCCACCATTGTACGGCTAATGCGTAGTCGGCCATTTTTATCGCTGCGGAAAATGCGCATGCGCTTATAACCTCGACCGTGTCGTCCGCTTGCTCTGTGTATCTTGAAGGCACAAGAAGTCACAACGAAGGGCGTGTATCGACTCTCGCATACTATCTACTACTGTAGCTAGCCCGTGTCAGACTCTCTGCCAGCTACTAGCGGGAGATCACGAGTAAACGCATACTAATAGCAGCCCAGCCCATCAATTAGCGGCACCGCGCATCCCCAGTTCGCCGAGGGTTTGCACTTTAGTGCTTTTCATTGGGTTTGTCTGTGTGTGTGTCTGTTACTCTACATCTCACCTCTCGAATGTCTGTTCGTCCCAGAAACGATACCATCTACCCAACGGGCGACGAAGGTCATAAATTATTTGGGGTTTTCTCTGAAAATGCTCCGTTGCAGAGCTAGAGCGCTTCCACCATTGTATGGCTAATGCATAGTCGGGCATTTTTATCGCTGCGGAAAACGCGCATGCGCTTATATTTTCCACAGGGGTTAACCTCGACCGGGTCCGCTTGCTCTGTGTATCTTGAAGGCACAAGAAGTCACAACGAAGGGCGTGTATCGACTCTCGCATACTATCTACTACTGTTGCTAGCCCGTGTCAGACTCTCTGCGAGCTACTAGCGGGAGACCACGAGTGCATACTAATAGCAGCCCAGCCCATCAGTTAGCGGTACCGCGCATTCCCAGTTCGCCGAGGGTTTGCACTTTAGTGCTTTTCATTATTTTTGTCATTATGAAGAGGTGATAACTATTATGGTAGGGTTCGTGTTATAGCTCGGCGTGGGACTGGATCTGTGATTTAGCATCTATGCAACGTAATTTTGGGCGACTGGTCCTAAGGTTATTCTGAACTGATTCGCACACATTCTAATTAGCTGCTATGGTTCATGAAGATAATTATGCATTAGTTTTGCGTGGTACGGTTTTTGTCTCTCTCGCAAAAGGACTGAATCATACGCAAGCTCAGGAGCACCGCGGAAGGTAAAAGGGCTAGGGGTCCAAATTGTGCTCATGCATGCGTGCTTGCCGCGCGCTAATCTCTTGTGCGCCCAGACCCCTCTTTAGAGGGCGCGCACGACTCCAAAGCGAAATAGCAAATTAATATGATGGTGCACAACTAGGCATCAATGATCATTAGCAGGAACTAGACAGCAGCACCAGTTCGACCACAACCAGGGGTATCAACGTTGCGAGGACTTGCTAATCCAGACCTGATTTCTCTCCCTGGTATATAGCTACTACAGAACCCATATCACAATGATGCACAGAAAAACGGCCCTGATTTTGAATCCTCACTACCTTTGAAGTAGCCAGAACTTACAGGAATTAACACTTACACCATGAAGAAAAGTTTCCCTGGTATTACGTATACAGAACCTATATCACAATGATGCACAGAAAAACGGCCCTGATTTTGAATCCTCACTACCTTTGAAGTAGCTATAATTTACACTTACACCATAAAGAAAAGTTTTACTATCAAGACAACCATAACTACACTGTTAAAAATATGGTGTTATCTAACACCCCATTTTCTGTATATACCAAAACTGGCAGGGTGTATTGGAGCACCTCAGGGGTGTTCATTAAGCTTAAGTAGGTGTTTACAAACACTCTTGGGGTGTAAAGTAACCCATGGTGCTCACCACAACACCTAAGGGTGTAATCCTACACTGACCCATCACAACTTCCTTTGCCTTGTGCATTGTTGTTTAATAATATTGTTCATAGGACGCAATGTCAGAAAATTTCATCATCCCATATCACATTCTCTTCACTGTTTTATTAGGCCATATAGGAGTTGAGTTGCAAAAGCCTAAGCCAAGTTTGAAAATATTAAGGAAATAATGAGAAGCAGTTTTGAAAGTACGATTATATGCAACTTGATTGCAATGTTCGATTTTTTTCAGGTAGACGAGAATGGATTTTGAATGATTCTCCTTCAGTTCAAGACATCGTTGATAAGTTCCCTCCTCTTAAATATGTATGCACTTTGATTAATCATTCTATCAGTATAATTATAATGAATTAACAATGGTAACAAAGAGTATATAAAAATTGCTGAAGAAAATTGGCAGGATTTATTGATATCTGCCAAGATTGGTATAATTTTCTTTGCAGAGTTGGAGTCACAAATCAATAGGGATGCCCTTTCAAAGCAGCAGGAAGAGGTAAATTCATTTCCTCCTGATGCATAATGATGAGCATACATGGTACTGTACACTTCCTTCTCATATTTCAAGTTGGTCAAGTGAGTGTGAAAATATAATTTATATGCCAGTGTGTATAGTGGTATTGGCATACATCTTTATTCCCACTTCCCAGGATTACAGCTGCTGCAAATGATCCATTCTTTTGAGCTTACTGAGCTGAGCTTTTGCTTGCTCCTCGAGCAAAAATATCACTTGTGCATCATGCAGCGGTTTTCTGTAAGTCAACATTATATATAATATCATGTACATAACTATGGACAAACTGTTGTTATAGAATGAGCCTGACCTTGATGAGGCTGTGAAGAAAATCATTGAAAACCATGGTTACATCTCTGTGGTTACTTCTGATAAAAGGACTCAAGCATTATTTAAACAATAGACTTTTTTCTTTTTTTTATCTTATGCTCTTTATTGTATCGTTGCTCTTTGTATCTCATGCTCTTTTACTGTGAAATATTTTTGTCACTTCAACAGTAAGAGCAATGGCGCTACTGCAACAACGAACAGCGCTCTAGAGCACCAACTGCGTGTTGTCGAACACCCTATGAAGAATTGAAGCAGCACCTAATGCATGTTTATGAACACCCCAAAGGGTGTATTGTAGCATCAATAGAAAGGATAAATAGCACTCTTGTGGGTGTACATTGCCCCAGAAAGGGTGTTCCTGTACACTCTTATGGGTGTACATTGCCCCAGAAAGGGTGTTCCTGTACACTCTTGTGGGTGTACATTGCCCCAGAAAGGGTGTTCCTGTACACTCTTATGGGTGTACATTGCCCCAGAAAGGGTGTTCCTGTACACTCTTGTGGGTGTACATTGCCCCAGAAAGGGTGTTCCTGTACACTCTTGTGGGTGTACATTGCCCCCAGAAAGGGTGTTCCTGTATACTCTTATGGGTGTACATTGCCCCAGAAAGGGTGTTCCTGTACACTCTTGTGGGTGTACATTGCCCCAGAAAGGGTGTTCCTGTACACTCTTATGGGTGTACATTGCCCCAGAAAGGGTGTTCCTGTACACTCTTGTGGGTGTACATTGCCCCAGAAAGGGTGTTCCTGTACACTCTTGTGGGTGTACATTGCCCCCAGAAAGGGTGTTCCTGTATACTCTTATGGGTGTACATTGCCCCAGAAAGAGTGTTCCTGTACACTCTTATGGGTGTACATTGCCCCAGAAAGGGTGTTCCTGTACACTCTTATGGGTGATGGTTAACACCCCATCCTAACACCCCAAGGGTGCCAAACTGGCACAGTCCCACAGGCGCCCCAAAAGGTGCTGCCGTAACACCCCATTTTTAACAGTGTACTGCAAACACTCAATCCTTTGCCAACAAACAACATAAACTCTGGTATATACCCAAAATGGAAATCTAAGTCACGTAGGAAGATACCCTGTGCAACCTGCATGTAGAAGCTGCGGAGTATAAAAGAGGCACTGATGTTCCAGTAGGACCATCAAGCTACACTAAGCAACTTCCTACTACAACTCCAAGGTGGAACAGAAGCAAGTGAATCAAACGAGTGAAGATGAAGACTGCTCTCCTTCTCCTCCTCTCTGCCACTGTGGCCTGGAGTTATCCCAACCATGTCCCCAATGGCTACCCTTTCAATACTGCTGCAGAGAATCAGGTCTGGATTAGCAAATCCTCGCAGCTTACATTTAATATTGATATTTTTTTTATATATTATAGAGGAGTCCAGATTCCTACCTGCAGGAGCTTTACCCTCGCAATATTCCTGACGATGCAGCTGCTGTTGCTTCGACGCACCCACAGGGGGAGGTGATGGCCCAGTCAATCTGCACCAGCATTGCAGGTGGTCAGGGATGGATCTATGCTGTGCAACGCAGCTGCGGAGGTGCAGGCACCTGCACTCAAATTTGCACCAGTGCAAAACTGCGCAGCCAGGACCCACAGACACAGGGGAGGCAGTGGTTTGCTGTTGCTGCTATTCATGTGTACGCCAACCGTCCCTGCTCTACCCCTGGAACTCCTGCCAACCCCCACATTGGTCTGAAGGTGTTCCGATATGGCGACATTAATGCCGCTGGTTGTGGTCCCAACTGGTGCTGCTGCTCAGTTCCCGCCTGATGCCTAGTTGTGGACTATCATAATGACACTGGAACTTGTATATAGCAGTAGTTGACTAACAGTAGAAACATTCTGGTTGTTTGATAATAAACTCATTGTAGGACAGTATAAACTTTTCAACGTATCGCGCATTCTTCTTTGGACTTGACAGTTGAACTGAACTCGCAATGTTGTGTGATGTTCAGAGACCCTGGTGTAACTGTTTAAAACTCAGCATACAGAATCTATCTGTGCCAGTACTTAGGCATACTCATCTCCACGTGGGACGCAGCAAGTAACATCTCGTGGTGCAGCATAAAGCATGATTGGTCTCTAACATAAAAAAACTGAGGAACAAAGAAAATTTGGACTACCACACAAAGAAAGCTCATTCCAAATTGACTTCAGTGGAGTTGTAAGGTAAACTGTGCAAGGTTAATCAATAGGCTACTTAACTCTTGAGTCCAAAGTTTCCTGTACTAAACCATCAAAAAGCTGCACACACAGGCACTTAGCTGTATGCCACAGCAATCCACCAAGGAAAAGCTCTTGTAACTCGGATGTGCACACATGTAAGGTCTTGGCATATCTTGGTGGTCAACAGGCATGTACACACAGTTTTGCGTTCAACAGACCAGCATGGCATTACACGTGATGTATTGGCAATGCTATACACAGCTCTTTCTAATGGGCCCCTCAGCAAGTTAGACAGTGCGGCGATTCGGGCCCCGACCCCAATCATCATCCCTAGTTATACAAGATAAGAGGGCTAGACAGATACGTAGTCAATTATACACCTCTGAGATACAATTAGCGGCATAATAATAGTGAAGACACTGGTGATATCAGAAGAGTCAATCAGACCATCAGACAGCTGTTGTTGTCTTTTGCATATGTACATACGTTTTTATGCATTCGCCAAGGGTTTGCATTGTAGTCCTTGACACGGTATAAACATCAATAGGTGACAGTTTTCATGTATAACTATACAGCATAATTGCTACTGAGTGAGTAATAATGAGACAAAAATGTTGTAAAATTTCAATCCTCTATGTCAGAGTCAGATTCTTCACTAGATGTTGATTCAATGTCTAGTGGGTGTGGTCTGTTGGGATTGACAAACAGATCGCTATCACCTGCCTCGTCGGCAGAGTCCAGACTGTCGTCACTGGTGGCTGCTGCCTCCGGGAGCTCTCGCCTGTAGCAAACCCCGCTAATTATGACACTCTCTTGAACGACGAAAAACGATAAAGCGCAAACCCCCGGCACATGCGCAGTATATACCACTAATTGATGGGCTGGGCAATGAGTGTGCGTTTACTCGTGGTCTCCATTCTAGTAGCTCGTGGAAAGCCTATATAATACGGGCTAGCTACACTAGTAGATAGTATGCGCGAGTCGATACACGCCCTTCGTTGTGATTGCTTGTGGCTCTAAGGTGCAAAAGAGTTGTGGCCGTGCATTAACTGAAAGTTTTGCACCATGTCATCCAAGGATTGCAAAGGGTAAAAAATCTAAGGTTTAAAAAATGGCAAAAGTGGTAATGGCAATCTGAAAGGGTTATGTTGATTGTTTTACATATGTAACGCCAAATGCGACAAAAAATAGAGCGCTTGTTGCGGTTCCTGATTTTCGATTACCGATTATCGATTTTTTTTCCCGACTCGATTCGTGTCTCGATTATTGATTGCTGTTTTTCGATTATCGATTCCTGATTTAGATTATCGGTTCACGGTTTATGATGCGAGCTAGTCTCTCGCCCAGAGCCCGCCTTCTAGAACCCTTTCGGTAAGCCAATCAAATCGTTAGTGTCACATACAGCATGTGACACTAATGCTCCGTGCACGCCGAGTATTCGTGAGCGTATCAAAACTTACTTGCGTGTGGTATGTAATGATCACAAGGCTGCTGATCCAACACAATCTCTTTAGAGGGCGAGGCTGAGTATCGCATCACAGACCGTGAACCGAAATATCAGAACGGTATGTATCGATAATCGAAAAATTAATCGAAAAACGGGAATCGCAACGAGCGCTCTATTTTTGTTGCATTTGATGTTCCATACTTACATGGGAAATGTCTTGCACCATTTAAACTCTTATCCATGGATTATTTGTATGTGGGTCAGTGGTAGATTCGTAGGTAAGGGGAGGAACCAGAGCTGTTCCCAGCCAATGCTCTGGACCACCTGTCAGTTTCAGTGCAGGTCCGGGATTCGAACCGGGCATCTTATGTGACAGTCCCCACGTCTCTAACCACTTAGCCACTTGGGCTGGCCACAAGAGCTGATGAAAAAACGTTCCAACACTCATATTACACCATTATAAAAAAAATGACCCAGACCTCATGGTTCAAGTGTGTGGGTCCTTATCCATCAGGCCACACCCAATACTTGGGAGGGGCCAAGTGCAATCTAATAGTTGTCATACAAATCCTCGGTGCAAAGGTGTGCACGTGACAAAACATTGCAACACCCATACACATGCACAGATCGCTAATTAATGGGCTGGGCCACGCTGTTAAACGCATGGTTTCTTGTCACTGAGAGTCTGACAAGTCCATAGGGGTAGAGAGCGTTTTAGGCCTCGATACTTGCCCTCCATTGTAACTTCTGATGCCTCCACAGTAAGTGCACAATGCGAGCGAAATCTAGTCGAGGTAAGCCAGTGGTAATTAGCATATTGGCTTCTTCCAGTTATAAAATCAAGCCAGTGTAGCACAGAACCTGCTGGCATAGCTTTTTGGCAGACAGACAGACAGACAGACAGACCAAGTACTGTGCGTGCGTGCCGATGGTTAATTAAAGGACCCACTGCAGTCACCCCTGTTTCATGCTCCTCGTAATATATTACTATTCATTGACCTTACATTGTTTGAAGTGCAAATTGAAACCCTGTCCCTCCAGTGTCTTTCAGTTGGTTATTGCTAGCGTGACGAGGCACCCTCAATCTCGCCATGGTTATTACAATAGTGTATACAAAGGTACAAAGAATGGTTACTTTGTTGCAAGCTGTATTCATATACATGTGCACATGTGAAGTTACAGACTTACCAACTATTGTCTCTACGGGTGTCTCTGGACGATCCATCAAACTGGGGAGGCCTACGGTAGGGGTGAAAGAGGAGGAATGCTGAATGAGGTGTAGGAAGTAACACCTATCACATGCAGAACACAAGAATTACAGGAACATGCATCAACGATTGTCTATATATTTACTTTCATGTATTTAAAATCATGTTGGACATTACTGTAAGGGTGGCAACGTTCGGATACACATACATATTCTCAGAGGTTTCTAACTCTTCAATCTGTTCCTTGATGCTTGTTCGCTTTTCGGAGGGTCTGCTATTCCACCCAAATATATATTTGTGAGAGAAGCGAGCGTACCTCGTTGTCTAAACAGAGGATTTTTACACGTAGGATTGTTATAGGTCACTTGGTTATAGTATGTACAGTATCACGGGAGATGTGTAGCTATACCAGATGTTTCTATCCTTGAGGTACTTGATCTGTCTTGGGAAGAGGATGTGAATGATCTCTGCCTGTACCTTCTTCCCTTCCTCAATAGGCTCTACCACCACAAAGTCCCCTGCACAGAGACAGCAGGGACAACATCACAACATGAGCTAAAACAAAGCACTCAAGTGCAAACCCTCGGCGAACTGTGCATGCCTGTGCTAATTAGATATTGGCTTGTTGACTTGGTCTTCACGCCATAACTTTAGAACCCAGTACTTCTAAGAAAATCGCTATTTTAAAAACGAAGCCAGCGTAGTGCTGAACCCGTTGGTGTCGCTTTTTGGGCGGTTTGTTGTGCGTGGTGGCAGAAAACGCGGTAACACACACACAGAGACAGACAGACAGACAGGACCAACTACTACAACTCTCATGCGCATGCACGCCGAGGGTTAAAAATATGAATTGCACATCATTGCACAAATGAGCCCAAGTGGATGTCAACTCGGCACATTTGTTGTAAATACATACTGTGGAACCTCCAATAATTGACCGTTCCAATAGGGGCATCTCCCGTACAACAGACAACAGCTGAATTGGTATTCCCTTAGTCTATGGTAACTCGCAATTGACCAATCCGAAGTTTCGAGTTATAGGAGGTGTAATTAATCTGCGGTAACTGTTTTGAAACTCAGGGTCAATGGCTACCACACCTCAGCTATGCATTGTACACTCACCTCTTTTGATCCACACGTTCTTCCTGAACTTGGTGGGCATGCTGGCCAGAAACTGCTGGCCTTCCGCTTCCTCTACCTGGTGGAGATTGTTTCCTCTTCCACACAACACCTGCACACAACACACAAGCCTAGCATATATTGACTGACTTTCAAAGGTTCGCCCTACCTTGACTATTTTCTGACTGCCCTGGGGCTCTACAAACTCTTCCACAACTTGCCGTGTGACGTGCTTTCTCTTCGTGGCCTTAGACATGACGGCAGTAGCTGCAGCGAGTGAGATACGCCAGAAACTCTCTATCCATGATGTGAGAAAAAGGGCCCTCGCGTAAGAGAGGGTGTGGATCCGAGGTTCTACCGAACGACGAACAAACGAACAGCCAGACACTGCTTTCTCTCACTCCGTGAGACGAACGAGACTGTTTCAGCGTGATTGCGCAAGGAAGAATTGCTGACGCATGCACATTGTATGTGCGCATGCTCAATTCGTACAAAGACACGCCTACTTCATTCTCCTCTCGATCTCCCGCCCAAAAAAGTTTGTGTCAGGCAAAGAAGTTTCAACACTGAAAGATATTCTTTCAAGAAAAGAGAGGTAAAGCTAGGTGCAACCTTGTTGACGCTGACAGTACTGCACCGTACACTAGGCAGATTTTGCAAGCTCAGCTGGTTTTGCAGAACTGTAAAAATACACTAACTGGGTAGCAATTGTAGACTCTTTGTCTTCTCTCTCCGCAGATGTCGACTTCTCAAAAGCACCGGAACTTCGTGGGGGAACCCATGAGTGACAAGGACGTTACGGAGCTGGCGGGGATCGGGCCCGCCCTCGGAGGGAGGTTGAGCAGCAAGGGGTTCGACAAGGCGTACGTGGTTCTAGGCCAGTTCCTGGTCCTCAAGAAGAACGAGGAGTTGTTCAAGGACTGGCTCCACGATACCTGCGGCGCCAACGCCAAGCAGCAGCGGGACTGCTTCGATTGCCTCAACGAGTGGTGCAGAGCTTTTCTTTAGGGCCTTCACCCGGTTCAGGGACCTTTCGCACCAGAGATCCACACTTTGAACACTTCCACACACATTGTAACTGTAGTCGCACATGTCTTTGAACTGTACGTGTATCTCTTAACACTTTGAAAATGACAATGTACCATTCTATGCAACACATTCATTTTGTGCGATGCTATTATGTCCAGCTGCAATCTCTAAACAATCCTGAGGAGATGATCAATAGACAAGAATAGCTTGAATAAACAGCAGCAACTTCACTTGCCCTTTCTCTCCACTTCTTCTACCGCCTGGCCCTATAGTGTGTGTATGTTTGTGTGTTACAAACGCCAAGACATAACCGAAGAACTTACTCTCCGTATGTCGTACAGATCTTCCATGATGTCCATGTCTCTCAACATATAGATGACATACGGACGTACACAACATTGTCAAGGAAGACATTGTGTAGCTATAGTCATGCAACACGTAATACACGAATGAAAACAGGTTGGATATCATTCACTGTGACTGGTTTTTCCTCTTATCTGGTAGCAAGAACTCGCTGTTCCTCTTCCTCTTCCTTGAACCATTCTCTGGGAACAGGCATGGAAATTGAGTGACACAACTGTTACACATGCATAAAAAAACCTTGCTGTGTAATGGGAAGACTGGGAATGGGAACACAACCAATTCCACTAGACATCTTTACATCATACAAGAGTGAAGCTTGCACCTTTAGTGAGCTCTGCCACAATCTTTTCCTCATGGAGTCGGCGGATCTTCTCCTGGATTGTGGCTACCATCTTCCTCTTGGTCACCTGGATCAACTCCTGTGTAAATGGTAAATTAGCACATACACACTATAATGGACACTCCCGGTAAACAAAAGGTGACACGTCATTCACAAAAACTAATGCGCTCAAAACGGCACCTGGAAGTTCTGCTCAGCTGATGCCACTTCTTCGTCGTACTTGTTCTGGATGTTTTGCAACTGTGAATACAACGCTATTATTAGAGAATGCACCAAACAGCAGCAGTTTACAATTATACTATGTACATAAGCATTACGCTGCGCTCTTATTATGATAATTCAGATAACTAGTCTCACTATACTCTTCTGTTTTGGTGGTTTCGAAGGCTATGCCATTTTTACCAACTTACCTTACAGGAGCACTGTAATTCTGAAAAAAAGGTAGTGGAATTAACACGTACAATGAAACTGCAGAGTTGTACCTGCTGTCTGGGTACGTCTCTGTCTCGCCTCTTCCAGTTCCTTTAGTGGCTGGAGATACTCATGAGCTCCCTCTATACAACAACACACAGTCACATGTATCATTTCAGCTACACTTTCTAAAAGGTGTATATATGCAGATTCCAACAACTTGTGCTTCTAAGACCCAAAAAGCTTTGGATACCGTAGGTTTTTTAAGCATGTATCCAACCTAAGGTCTTTGTTTTGCTGTTGGTGATGATAGATAGTTCGTAGGGATAGTAGCTACCGTATGTTTGGTGTTTAAAACTAACTCATGAACAAAACACTATCTCACCTTCACTGATGTGTTTCATCCGCTCATCAATCTCTCTGACTTTCTCATGGAAGAGCCTGTGGTGAAAAATAAAAACCAACACTCAGTGTCACTTTACTGCCGCCCCACCCACAGTTCCTTCAGGTCAGAAAACTGCTGCTCCAAGAACTGCATGTCGTCCAGACAGTCTACTTTTCTTCTCTCCGACTCTACCTCGTCATCTGCAGCATAAAAGCCCATCGTGACATGAAAAAGTAAGTCTGCCCACTCGGCCGTACGCTCACAGAGAGACGAATCACAGTCTGAGTTGCTCGAGTCCTCGTCCCCGTGTCCGTTGGTTTTGGCCTCCAGACTTGTGTGGTGGTTCCCATTGCGTCCTGAAGACTTCAAAGGCATAGCAGTCAGTCCTCCTTCTCGTCCTGGGGTCGTAAGTGAGCAGTGAGAGACAGCCTCGCTCTCTGTCTTGCTAGGGGACTCGATCGAGTGGGTTCCGGGTGTGTGGCTTTGTCAAAATGCTGACTCAGCATGGAGGATAAAAAGGGCGTGGTCAGGTGGGTGTACGCCGATTGGCTTTCTTTTGCATCAGTGCGGCATGGGGGACACGGTTTCTAGCAGGCTCGTTCGCGGTCGTCGAGGGGATTCGTCTGGCCAGAAGGAAGACATGGAGAAGCCAAAGGTCATCGTCCGTCCCATGTTGACCACGTCCCAGAAGAACTTCCGCGACGTCCAGCACCCTGGGTCCATCCTCTCTGGGAGCACCGGGGGACCGGCCGTCACTCGGGAGGACCTGAATGTGCGAGGCGCCAGGTGCTTCCTCCTCCACTCGCTGCTCTCGCCCGAGGAGTGCCGCCACTACATCGAGGACACCGAGAGGATCGGCTACTCGGACCTCCTGGACCTCTTCCCGCCAGAGTACCGTAGCAACGACCGAGTCATGTCCATCTGCCAGCCCCTGGTTGACACTCTGTGGGCCAGACTCCAGGGCCATCTTACCAGGAGGGAGGTCATCAGGGTACGACCCATCGGATTTGGCAATGAGGGCACTTGGAAACCATTCCGACTCAACGAGTGCTGCAAGTTTGGAAAGTACAAGTGAGTCACTCTGACTCAAGTGCAATGCATAATTGGGCGAGCAGAGCGAGCCCCCCCAGTGGTTTCTTCGGGTGGAATCTTCTACAATATTTATATATACGACGCACCGTCCGTCGTAGTTATGCGCATGCGCAGATATTACACGCTTCAACTATATTGGGCGGGTCCCGGTGGTTCAGTTCACGTCCAGCAACGATACTCACTGCTTCTGCTGACAGAGGTAGACAGACAAAACGCCCCGCTGTCGAAAGTCCTCACGACCGAGAGGCTTGTCTTTTTCAGTGATGATTACGAGATCGAGAGCGGGCAAGGCAACGACACTGCTTTTGTTCAAAGAGACAGAATGCCCGGCCGTCGAAAGTCCTCACGACCGAGAGGCTCGTCTTTTTCAGTGACGATTTAGAGATGGAGAGCGGGCAAGAAAACGTCGGACTACACATTACCGTTCCGTGCTACTTTTTCTGGTAGTTTCACTGCAACAAAATATGACAAGCAACATCAATAGCTAAAAACTTCCGTTACTTGCTGAAACATTTTATATACCTGTAGGTACGTAGCTATTATTATCGCTAGTAATGATGATGGTTGTATATACTTGCTCCTCGTAATATTGACATTACTATTCATTGACCTTACATTGTTTGAAGTGCAAATTGCAACCCTGTCTCTCCAGTGTCTTTCAGTTGGTTACTGCTAGCGTGATTACGCACCCTCAATCTCGCCATGCTCGTTACAATAGTGTATACAAAGGTACAAAGAATGGTTACTTTGTTGCAAGCTGTATATGCATGTGCACATGTGAAGTTACAGACTTACCAACTATTGTCTCTACGGGTGTCTCTGGACGATCCATCAAACTGGGGAGGCCTACAGGGGTGAAAGAGGAGGAATGCTGAATGAGGTGTAGGAAGTAACACCTATCACATGCAGAACACAGGTATTACAGGAACATGCATCAACAATTGTCTATTTACTTTCATGTATTTAAAATCATGTTGGACATTACTGTAAGGGTGGCAAAGTCGGATACACATACACATTCTCAGAGGTTTCTAACTCTTCAATCTGTTCCTTGATGCTTGTTCGCTTTTCAGAGGGTCTGGGTCTGCTATTCTACTCACACATTATGCTTATAATAATTGGTGAGAGAAGTGAACGTACCTCGTTGTCCAAACGGAGGATTTTTACATGTAGGATTGTTATAGGTCACTTGGTTTATGTACAGTATCACGGGAGATGTGTAGCTATACCAGTGGTTTCTCTCCTTGAGGTACTTGATCTGTCTTGGGAAGAGGATGTGAATGATCTCTGCCTGTACCTTCCTCAATAGGCTCAAAGTCCCCTGCACAGAGATAGCAGGGACCACATCACAACATGAGCTAAAAATACGAAAATGAAAAGCGCTGAAGTGCAAACCCTCGGCGCATTGTGACGCACACGCGTAAGTAAACGCATGCGCGGTACCACTAATTGATGGGCTGGGTTTAGTTTTTTAGCTGTTACTCGTGGTCTCTTGCTAGCTCATGCAGAGTCTGATGCGGGCTAACTATACTACTAGATAGCATGCGAGAGGCGATACATGCCCTGCGTTGCATCTTCTGGTGCCTCCGAGGTACGCAGAGCACGCGGATCGATCGGACCGTGGTAAGCCGTCCCGTCCGTTGTGTATTTGCATATTGCCTTTTTTCGCGCTAGCTTTGCAATGGAGCAGTTTCAGAGAAAACCGTTCGAAATTTCTGACCTTCATTGCCCGTTAAATAGCTCCGTTGCTAAGCTAGAGCGCTTCCAGCATTGATGGCAAATGCCTGTAGTCGCTATTTTATCGCTGGCGACATGCGCATGCGCTATATTTAGCACAGGCTTACCTCGACCGGGTCCGCTTGCTCTGTCTATCTGAAGGCACAGAAGTCACAACGGATGGCTGATCGTAGCTACAGTAGTAGATAGCACGCGAGAGTCGATACACGCCATTCGTTGTGACTTCTTGTGCCTTCCAGATAGACAGAGCAAGCGGACCCGTCGGTAAGCCTTTGCTAAATATAAGCGCATGCGCATTATCCGCCAGCGATAAAATGGCGACTACAGGCATTTGCCATACAATGCTGGAAGCGCTCTAGCTTTAGCAACGGAGCATTTTCAGAGAAAACCGTTCGAATTTCTGACCTTCATTGCCCGTTAAGTAGGTTGTATCGTTTGTGAGACGAACAGACATTCGAGAAGTGAGATTGAGAGTAACAGACAGACACACACACACACACACACACAGACAAACCCAACTACTGTACCCTCGCTGCGCATGCGCGCCGAGGGTAATGAAAAGCACTGAAGTGCAAACCCTCGGCGCACAGTGACGCGCACGCGTAAGTAAACGCATGTGCAGTACCACCAATTGATGGGCTGGGTTTAGTTTTAGCTGTTACTCGTGGTCTGTTGCCAGCTCGCGCAGAGTCTGACGCGGGCTAACTACACTACTAGATAGCATGCGAGAGGCGATACACGCCCTGCGTTGCATCTTCTGGTGCCTCCGAGGTAAGCAGAGCACGCGGATCGATCAGACCGTGGTAAGCCATCCCGTCCGTTGTGTATTTGCATATTGGCTTTTTCGCGCTGTAGCTCTGCAACGGAGCATTTTCAGAGAAAATCCCACATATTTTCTGATCTTCGTTGCCCGTTAAGCAGGCTGTATCCTTTGTGAGACGAACAGACACTCGAGAAGTGAGATTGAGAGTAACAGACAGACAGACAAACCCAACTACAGTAACCCTCGCTGCGCATGCGCGCCGAGGGTTAACTACCGTACCCTTGCTGCACGCGAGGGTAATTATGAATTGCACTCCATTGTACAAAATATGAGCCCAAGTGGATGTTAACTCGGCACACTTGTTGTAAAGAGTATACTGTGGAACCTCCAATAATTGACCATTCCAATAGGGGCATCTCCCGTACAACAGACACAGCTGGATTAGAATGCCATTAGTCTATGGTAACGGGCAATTGACCAATCCGAAGGTGCGAGTTATAGGAGGTAATTAAGTTACCTCTTCCGCCTACGTAACTATTTTGAAACTCTGGGTCAATGGCTACCACACCTCAGCTATGCATTGTACACTCACCTCGTTTTATCCACACGTTCTTCCTGAACTTGGCATGCTGGCCTGCTGGCCTTCCGTCTCCTCTACCTGGTGGACGTCCTCTTCCACACAGCACCTGCGCACAACAGCAATAACATTATTGACTGACTTTCAAAGGTTCGCCCTACTTTGACTATCTTCTGACTGCCCTGGGGCTCTACAAACTCTTCCACAACTTGGCGTGTGACGTGCTTCGTCGCGGCCTTAGACATGACGGCAGTAGCTGCAGCGAGTGAGATACACCAGAAACTCTCTATAATCCATGATGTGAGAAAAGGGGCCCTCGAGTAAGAGAGGGTGTGGATCCGAGGTTCTACCGAACGACGAACAGACGAACAGACGAACAGCCAGACACCGCTTTCTCTCACTGTGAGACGAACGGAAAGACAACACGTTTCAGCGTGATTGCGCGAGGAAGAATTGCTGACGCATACACATTGTATGTGCGCATGCTCAATTCGTACTACCCGCCCACAAAGGTTGTGTGTGTGTACGTGTCCGGCAAAGAAGTTTCGGTCATAGTGGACCCTGTGTCCATTTTTTGGCGAAATTCCTGCATTCTATTGGTTAATGCCCCAAAAGTCATAAGAAGTTTCAACACTGAAAGAGATCCTTTCAAGAAAAGAGAGGTAAAGCTAGACGCTGACAGTACTGAATGCGACTGCACCGTACTAGCGTACAATTGTAGACCCTTTGTGTTCTCTCTCCGCAGATGTCGTCGACTTCTCAAAAGCACCGGAAATTCGTGGGGGAACCCATGAGGAACAAGGACGTTAGGGAGCTGGCGGGGATCGGGCGTTTCTACGGACAGAGGCTGAAAACCAAGGGGTTCGGCAAGGCGAGGAGTGTTCTAGGCCAGTACCTGGTCCTCAACGGTGATGACTTCATGGACTGGCTCGGCGGGGCCTGCTACGCCACCCCCAAGCAGCAGCGGGACTGCTTAGAATGCCTAAAGGAGTGGTGCGAGCAACATCTTTAGGACCTTCACCCGGTTCAGGGATCTTTCGCACCAGAGATCCAAAAAAAAAATTATATTACTAAGATGTAATGTTGCAAATGATAATCCTTTGTGTACCAAGTTTGGAGTATTGACGCGCTTTTGTTGCAGAGTTATGCCGTCGAAAACTGACCGCCGACATTACTTAGACGTCGGCAGATTCACAGAGCTAGGGAGGCGGACACGGTCACGTGAATAGTATAGTACAAGAATTTCAATTAGCGCCATTTGTAGTGTGATAGACAGACACCTCATGTTATGGAAAATTAGACGAAGTTAGTGGGGGGGACATACCGACTACCGTTGCTAGGCTGGGGGAGGTGGGGCGTCCCACCTCCGCCCACGGTGGCGCCGCCTCAGCGGCTCGCAACTGCGCATGTGCATACCGCAACCACGTGCAAACTGGGAAGCAACAGCAGCACGCAGGCAGTTCCCAGTGCTGAGTTACCGTCGCCGGCAGGTGGCGGGGCAGCGAGGACAGCGTGTTCCTCAGTTGTGCGAGGCCAGCGTGTGCCTCATTTTCTTTTCTATGGACGACGCGGACCCAACCACGGGCGGGGGCCCCTCCACGGGCATCGAGTCTCGATCGTTAACAGAGGCATCTGTGCGGAGTCTCATAAGGGAAGAGGTAGCCGCAGCGGTCGCGGCAGCATTGCGGAGCCCCGACCCGGCAAGTTCAGGTTAGTGCTGCTGGGGGGGGGGCCCATTATGACTATGCATACATATTAAATTATACGGCCCTGTCTGCGCACGCGCGGGGGAACTATTGTACTGACAGTCCCTCGGCAATACCGTCGGTCTCCCATAACGTGAGGAAAGGGGGTCCTCAAAATGTCTGTCATTCCCCAGGAGTAATGGTTCTCCCCCCAACCGCTGCGGTCTCTTCATCCCCATCTTCATTACCTCTTTCCCTGGAGAGCCTCCCTCTGTTCTCGGCTGCCAGCGCATCTGCAGTCTTCCACCCAAGCACTACAACAACATCGGTGACACCGCTCATCTCGGCTGCGAAGGAAACTCCCGTGGGCTCACCGCAAAAGGTCCCCAATCCCACTCCCTTCAGGGTGGCTAGCAGTATTGCTCCGATCCCGGCCAAGCTAGTAAAGAAAATACAAGCATTGGAGTACGTCGAGATGCGGGAGTTACTCCCAGACAACATTGCGCTGGCAGAGAGGATGGCCGCCTTGCCGTCTGGTATTATCCAACAGAAACAACTGGGTCAGCGAGAGATAGGCGGCGAACGGGCACTTATGACGTGGGTGTCTTCCTTCGCAACCTATGTAGCAATTGTGGCGGGGGCACACCCGGAGAGGGTGGCGGACATGCTCGCTTATATGCGTCTGGTGGTGAGGGAGGCGAACAAGTTTGGGGGGGCCGGGTGGTTGACATACGACGCAGTCTTCCGCCGGAATCACCAGGGCACCTCTACCCCCTGGAACTACATAGACGCCTCCCTACATCAAGTGTATGTTGCCAATCAACGGGATAAGATTGTCACCCCATGCCAGCACTGCCAGGAGGTAGACCATACAACTGCCCAATGTGCTGTAGGTGCTATCCTCCCGAAGCCTATCACTCCCCCTATGGAGCTTACTCCGCTAATGGGCATGGGCCCAGACCGTCCGGCAAAGAAAGGAAAACGGCCATCCCCATATGGCCGCCAGAGACCAGTATGCCACTCCTGGAACAAGGGAGCTTGCGCTTTTCCGGGAAACTGTACCTTTGCTCATGTCTGTTCCAACTGCTACGGTCCACATCAACGGTCGGCGTGCAAAGAAGAGTCTCCCACCCCCCCGCAGGCCCAAAAGCACCCGATGGGACAACCAAGGCGGGTGTAGGCCTAGGGAACGACAAACTAACTCTGATCTATCATTTCGCTGCCATTACCCACTCAATTATTGGTGTTACTAACGTAGTAAAGTAAACACAAAATGCCTACAGGCACACGAAAGCGATAATAAAGGGGGGGTTTCTTACCCAAGCATACCCAGTCCATAACGTGATACTCCTACCCCTCTCTCCCACCTTCGTGTAGAGCCACCGGACCACCCCATATTTAACTTTTCTCGGGGTCTCTATAAATTTACCCAAGACCTGCTAGACCTGGAAGCGGCATCACCCCCGAGATCACTGGTGCCACATGACAGCTCACTTGCTACCCCGCTGAAGCTGCCAGTCTGGCAGTCTTCCCTGGACGCCTTCCCAGACAGGCCGCTGGCTCAATACATCATCCGAGGTATTAGCCAGGGCTTTCGCATTGGGGTGAACCAAAAGACAGAACAAAAACCTTCCCGACGGAACCTAAAATCGGCATACGAGCATCCCGAAGTGGTATCAGCATATCTGCAGCGAGAAGTAGATCTGGGTAGAATGCTACCTCTCCAACCTAGGCCCGATCTGGTCCCCCCTTCAATACAGATTAGTCCATTCGGAGTGATTCCGAAGAGGTATAAGCCCGACAAATGGCGCTTGATAACAGACTTATCGTCCCCAGAAGGGAACAGCGTTAACGATGCAATATCTCGGGAGCTCTGTTCCGTCTGCTATACATCCGTAGACACGGCAGCCGAGCTAATTCATACGCTGGGAAAGGGATGCCTACTGGCGAAGCTTGACCTGCAGGAGGCCTATCGGGCCGTACCTGTGCATCCGTCGGACCAGGGACTGCTGGCAGTGTCGTGGAGGGGTACAATCTACATTGATAGGGCCCTACCGTTTGGGCTCCGCTCAGCCCCCAAGATATTTTCCGCACTCACGGATACAATGATGTGGATGTTGCACAGAAGAGGAATTGCATTCGCCATACACTACCTTGACGATTTTTTGGTGCTAGGCCCAGCAGGTCAACCCACGTGCCAACAAGCATTAACCACCACCATCTCTCTCTGTGAAGAGCTCGGCTTTGCAATTGCCCCAGAGAAAACTGAAGGCCCACTTACCTTCCTGGGGATAGAGATGGATACAGTGCAGGGGCAGCTACGCCTCCCCCAAGAGAAGCTAACAAGGCTTAGCAGCACCATCGCCCAGTGGATGAAGGGTCCTTACCCCACTGCCCCACGCAGCTCGGGGAAGAAACGTGAGCTGCTCTCTCTCATTGGCTTACTAAACCACGCGGCTTCCGTGGTCCGCCCAGGAAGGGCATTCCTGCGCAACCTTATCGACGCAGCAGCGTCAGTGTCTGAGCTGGATCATTGGGTCCATCTAAACCAAAGGGCACGGGCGGACCTTGCCTGGTGGAATACGTTCCTCAAGGTGTGGAACGGTACAAGTGTTTCTCCACCTCCAGAACCCTCATGGTATGTAGTGTCGGATGTGTCCGGTTCTTGGGGGTGTGGCGCCTTTCATGGCAACCGCTGGTTCCAGCTGGTGTGGCCGGAGGAATGGGCGAAGAATATCTCCATTGCACCAAAAGAACTGGTGCCGATTGTGGTGGCCACCGTCTTATGGGGTGCACATTGGGCGGGAGGTCATGTCCGTTTCCTCTGTGATAATGCTGCAGTAGTGATGTCAGTCAACCGTGGGTCAGCAAGGGACCCATCACTGTCGCACTTACTCAGAATTCTGGCACTAGTAACGGCAATACTAGGCATTCACACCACAGCAAGGCATCTCCCGGGGGCACAAAATACATCTGCTGATGCCTTGTCACGCAATAAACTACCCCTGTTCTTCTCCTTAAATCCCCAGGCATCCCCAGTTCCAGCCATCGTACCCAAAGAACTACGGTCACTGGTGTTCAACACTCAGCTACAGTGGACATCGCCGAGCTGGGTGCATCTGTTGAGCTCTTCCTTCATAACTGCATTGCGCCTACCACCCGCGCAGCTTACAGATCCGCCCAACGCCGCTACGAGAGATTCTGCGATAAATACGGAGTCTCCCCTCTCTACCCACTACAGGAGGCAACATTATGCAGCTATGTAGCGTATTTAGCGAAGGAGGGCCTCAAACATCGTACAATCAAGGCATACCTCTCCGGAATACGGTGCCTACAGATACAGATATCGTTAGGCAACCCCTTTCAAGATGGCAACATGCCCCGCTTGGAATATGTCCTGGGAGGTATCAAGAGGGTTGAATCACGGAGTACATCCCGGTCCCGCACCAGACTGCCCATTACCATCTCCATCATGCGTCAGCTGAAGACAGTCTGGATGACAGCGAACCCGGCAGCAGACCACATCATGCTCTGGGCAGCGGCGTGTACAGGTTTTTTTGGGTTTCTCCGTGCCGGAGAGTTTACAGTGCCTTCTCCTAGCGAGTACGACTCTGATGTACACCTCAATCTCAGTGATATGGCTATCGACGATCATCGTCTCCCTTCAATGATACGCTTATGCATTAAGCAGAGCAAAACTGATCCTTTTCGGCAAGGCATACACGTATTCCTGGGCAAGACAGAGGCGGCGGTATGCCCAGTCCAAGCCATCATCAGATATATTGGAGTGCGCAGATCTGACCCTGGCCCTCTATTCATACGGAGCTGGTGTCAGAGCTGAAGTTTGCACTGAAATCATTGAAGGTAGATGAGTCCCTTTACAACGGCCACAGCTTCCGTATTGGGGCGGCCACCACGGCGGCCCAGCAGGGCTTGCAAGACTCCCTTATTCAGACCCTCGGCAGGTGGCGGAGTGAGGCGTATAAGATATATATTAAACTTCCCCGAGAACAGCTTGCCGCAGTCTCTCGGACTCTGGCTAGGGGATATTGAAATTAATGTCGTAGTGCATCTCTCAGTTGTAATGTGTGTATTATTTGTTTTCTTTCCTCGTTGGAGGTATGAAGAGGAGTCTCGGAGGTGTATGATGCATGGGACAAGCTGGTGTACCAGCTTTTATGGGTGATAGGTCAGCCAGTGGCTGTAAGTCCCATGCTAATAAGGTGAAACCAAAGTTAAGTAGGGGGTTGTGCTTGGGGCAAGGGGCAATATTGGTCAGCCTGGCATTATGCGGGCTTACTGCGATCAGCCTGTTAGCATTATGATACGTCATAGAGCAGCGCCCCCATAATTATGGGGAACGAGCCATGCAATGTAGTTGCCCCCGCTAATTCGCAATGCTAGTGCCGCTGACCCTTGCACGATACCTCCAAA